TTTCCAGCATTCCTACAGTGGGGAGGTAAAGGCCTAGTAGTCAGACTTGTTGACATAATAAGAGCTTTTCTGGCTTTCAGGTATATTCCTAGGGGATGGAGGGAAGTGCAAGTTACGTTTGTACCCAAACCAGGTAAGAGCGACTATACGGACCCAAAATCCTATTGAACCATTAACCTCACATCCTTTCTCCTAAAGACAATGGAGAGGGTGTGTGAAAGGGATTTAAGGGGGTTGGCCACTACACGACAAACAACACGCCTACAGCTTAGGCAAATCGACAGAATTGGCACTTCACCATGTAATAACAAAGATTGAAGTTACCATCCAAAACAATAATACGTCTAGGATCCTTCATAGATATAGAAGGTGCTTTTGATAGAACGAACCTCTCCAGCATAAAAGTTGCACTAAGTAGACATATAGTTGAACCGACATTGATTGACTGGATAGTAAACATGCTCAGTTCATGAACAATAAAGATTGCTGGTCAATATCAAGCAGTCCATATAAGGAGTTGCTGCCCGCAGGGTGGGGTTCTCTCACGTCTCTTGTGGAATATGGTCATAAATGAACAAATCAGCAAATTAAATGCCAACCACTTCTATACAATTGGTTATGCAGATGACCTGACAATACTGGCCTCGGGAATAACAGCAAGCATGGTGTGCGACCTGACCCAAGCGGCTCTCCGTACAGTGGACAGATGGTTCAAAGAATACGACTTAACCGTCAATCCAAATAAAACGGTTTTAGTTATGTTCACACAAAAACGAATGCTAAATAATTATCACCTACCATGTCTCTTAAGCACAAATCACATGCTATTCTCTGAGGTAAAATACTTAGGTCTTAACTTGGACAGTAAACTCAACTATAATAAGCACATAGAAAACAAAATCAACAAAGCTAGTATAACTTTCTAGCAATGCAGAAATATGATTTTCAAACGATGTGGTGTAATTCGGCCCATGATCACATACGGCGTTCTGGTATGGTGAACTAAAAAAAATGAAGCCACCACTATAAAGAAGCTTCAGCGTTACCAGAGACTGGCATGTATGGCTGCCACAGGCTGCATAAGGGCTACACCAACAGCAGCCTTAGAGGCTATGCTAACCCCGCTTCATCTACACATACAACCAGAAGCGATTTTAGCTGCCATTAGACTTAAGACCCTAAATTTTTGGAGTAAGAGTAGAATCCCTCATACAGTTATAATTGATAGAATTTACTCAAAAATTCCTATCTTACAAGCCAAGTACGATAAAATCCCCAAACAATTTGTGTTCGATAACAAGTATAAGATACAATTAATGAAACCAGCCAGCCCGAGGGATTAGGCCCTAAAGAGCTTAAAATTTTCACGGATGTTTTTGAAAAAAAAATGAAGGTGTATGATCTGGAACTTTCTCCGAAGACTTCAATATCCACATATGTACACCGCTGGGTACCCACAACACAGTCTTTCAGGCGAAATGTATGGGTATCATCCAAGCGGCAATAGCAATATATGCTAGGAAGGTAAAAGACTTCTCCATCAGAATACTGACCGACAGTATGGCGGTTCAAGAAACTCTGAGTCGCAATTTGGTGAACTCGGGACTAATATATGAATGCCAACAACGATTAAATGAGGTATGTAAACACAACAATGTGACTCTGCAATGGATAAAGGGACACAGTGGATCCAGAGGTAATGATGCAGCAACTGGCCAGAAGAGGATCGGCTCTGGCCACTATAGGACCGAAACCAATCATACCAATCCCCTTTGGTACCGTTCGTTCATACGTAAAAACTTCACTAATCAACACATTCAGCTTTGGAAAAATCTAATAGACTGTAGACAAGCTAGGGAGGTCCTGCCTGAAATGAACAGTCGCTTAACCAAGGTTCTTATGAGATTGAACAAGCCACAAATCAGGATATTAACAAGTGCTATCACAGGACATGGCTCCTTTAACAAACATTTATTTACCATAGGAAGAAACGGCGGCCCACGTGTTGCTGACATGTCCTCGCATGAGCTCGCTCGCTGAGCTCGCTGCATACAGGGCTAAACATCTCGGCACGCCGGGATCACTCCCCAAAGTTGCTTGCAACATTAAAGGACTATTGAGCTTCTTCGGGGAGATTTCATAGTTCGAATAATTATATTATTCCTGCCCACATGAAAAATACGCGCTTAGACGTGGAGTTGCGAAAAACAACCCGTCGTAAGCTAAACTAAACTAACTACCTAAATTAAGTCCTCGCATCTTCGTTAATTATCATACAGTCATGCTGGGCAGGTCTCCACCCTCTTGTAGGCCACATTTAAAACAAACATTCGGCTTTGTGGTTCGTAATGCTTACATCAAAAGAGTTGATGTCGTTTTATACAAAGTAAAAAACTCACAGGTTTTTAGTAAAGGAGCCCCCTTTAATTTTTGATTTATTTGTATTTTTATTAATCTTTGTTATAGCGGCAACAGAAATACTTATTTTGTAAAAATTTCAACTGTTTATCTGTTACGGATCATGAGAAACAGCCCGTGACAAACAGACGGACGGACAGCGGAAGCTTAGTAATAGGGCCCCGTTTGTCCATTTACTTGCGTCAATTAATTTTATTTAATGGTTTGAATACGAATCGTTATCAACTCAGTCTTATCAAAGCCTTAATAAAAAAACACGGTCTTAATTTATTAAATATAAGATACACAAATTGTGTCCTTCAAAACTCTTGTTTCAAATTTCTTCGCTTGTGTACTATTGAATTATTTTATTGAAACGACACCAAAATACAATGTGTCAAGAAAGTCGACGAAGGGAAATCCGTGAAAGATCTTTTGGTATTCGAATAGGTATACCAAAACTATTCGTCAGCAGTAAATCAAATAAAATACCTAAATTGGCTAATAATGCGAACTCCAATTCACCTGCCAAGCCTGGCGATTACATAAAAACAATGGTCTGCGAAATATCTAAATTAAGCAGAAGATGTAGTGGTTGTTGGTGATGATGTGTGTACATATAAATTATACGTGTGTACATATATAATACTTATCATACGACTTAAAAATGCCGTTGCCTCTTTTGCAAAAAAAAATAAACGGGCACCTAAGCAAAGAACCAATTTTATTACTACTATTAGATTGATATATAGTTTTAGGTAGTCTTATACTCAGAATTTTGTAAATAAATTAGCAAGGAATAGTTTTCTTTTATTTTGATTAAATTAACGAGAAATAATGTTAAATTACAAAACGCTAATAATATACCTGCGCGCTAAGTAAACATGAAACACGTTTCTTTGTTTGTTTTTTTTTTCTTTAATAAAAAGCAAAAGCAGATAAAACTTTAGTATGGAGTGTAAAAACACAGCTTGCAATCGTCTGGGCATGCTATCGAGTATATCTCTTATGGTTTCTTGCGAAATACGTTCTCACTCCACGGTGACACACATTCTTTAGCTTCAGGTCTGCGGAGCCGGCTGCACTGATCTTACTTGTCGCTCCAGACATCCTCTAAGGAATTTAGGTCGAGACTTCGAGATGGCCAATCCAAAAGACGAATTCCGACCTCCAGGGAATGCGAGCGTTGTAATCCATAAGAATTGAGTTTCTTTGGTCAATATTGTTGTGTATGAGAAATTAGAACTTCCGTTGCGTATCGGTGTTTAATCAGTGTGCCATTTTCGATGAAAGCTAGCTCCTTACGATTCAACGATTTTATTCCTGCCCAAAACATAATAGAGTCCTCACCATAAGATGTGATTTCTTCAAAACATGCCTCTGAAAAGCCTTTTCCTCGTCTCCGTAGCACTCGCCGCCGTCGGTCTTCACCGTACAGAGATATCCTATCCCAGGCTTTTTGAGTTCATGACAAACAATTTCGAGCGTAGCTAAGCCTGCCAACTCGACACTCACGGAGTAATTTTGGGCTGTGGGCTGGGCGACGACCGCGTATATTGGCAGCGATATATTGGCCTCCTCCTGACCGTCCGTTACTTCTTCAAGGTTGTGATTGAGAATCACATACGAAGATTGGCTATTTCTCAACGCTTGCCTCACCAGAAGCAATAATTCAGTACTTTAAAATGTCGAGGAAATAAGATAATTCAATAAAAATGGACTAATAAAAGTTAATTTAGAGTTGATATTAACTTTCGGGAGTTCGCGCCACAAAATGTAGTAAAAAGTTGTTTTCTTTAAAAACCAGCCTCAAACTTGAATTTGGAACGTACTTTTTTAAACATCACGGTACTTTTAAAACCGGCCAGTAACATGTTCAAAAGATTAATACCTTTTTCGTATTGTATTTTTTAGACAGGAAAAGATCAGATTTTTTTTGCAAATTAGTGTATTATTAACAAAGATAAATTAAATATTAATTTTAAGAATATTACAGACCGAAGGCCAGAAGACCAGAAGCCGAATACAAATAATTGGGAGATTTACGTAAATCATTCACTCATTCATCATTCAATACAGCCTATCGAGTGTCCACTGCTGAACATAGGCCTCCCTCATAGGTTTTCTTACATAGGGATTCTGACTAGATATATGCGCTAGTTGCCACACTTTGTAGGCCGATTGGCAACCGCAATTTTTCTGCCGACTTCCAAAAAGGAAACGGTACTCAATTCGACTGTATGTTTTTTATGTGTGTTACCTCATAACTTTTTATTGGGTGAACTGATTTCCATGATTCTTTTTTTTATTTGAAAGCTGGTACTTCTCGTGTGGTCTCATATGAATTTGATCAAGGTCAGACCAATAGTTTTTTGAGTTATTCTTAATAATTTATATTGAAGTCGGCTGTACAAAATTTTTCATTTTAAATTATTATTACTCTGAGATGTTATCAGGAAGATACTGCTGCACATCTCCTATTTCATTACATTCAGTCACCTTTTACGACACTCATGGGATAATATTATGGGGTAGTGGGTTCTTATACATCGCAACTACACGACGTAAAGAACTTAATAATTGTAATGTAATGGAATGCTCACCCGTCCCGAGTTGTTTAGCATAATAAGTCGTTCCATAGTCATAACTTCTTCTTTGACCGTCAGGTCTTCCCACTGACTAGCCAGCTCGAGGATAGACCGCCTAGTTACTCCGGGCAGAATAAGACCGTTTAAGGGTGGCGTGCTCAGTTGTTTGTCTGTAAAAATAATAACTCTTAAAAGGTGATTCAATAACTTGATGTTATTTTTTGACAAATTAATCCTAAAGATAAGAACTATAACATGTACACATTCATGGTCAAATGCATACGTTAAAAAGAAAGATTAATATTTACGGATATAGAAGCTTTAATCTAGGATGTCTTCATACAAACTTTCTTACGTAAGTAAAGGAAAAATCAAAGTTACAGTCTATATACGTCCCACAGCTAGGTACAGTCTTCTTTCATTTCTGAAAGGATTTTAGAGCAAGGAAATGCCCGCCGCGCGGCGGGTTGGTAAACTTCACATGTCTTCGAAATATTTTTATCCTCAGACTTGGAGGTTTCCTCACGATGTTTTGCTTCTGTGTGTGAAATTTACAGCTGTGCTTAACCCCTGAGCTACCACTGCACAATAAATAAATTAATACTTATATAATATAATCTAAAATTAAATTTTAATTACGTTTTATAAAATGCATATTATATCCTAAAAAGTTATATTGTAATACTTATTTGGCATGGCTTTTATTTTTAATTATTTTTTATTTATCTAAATAATAGGTAGGTTGCTTTTGTAGCCAACTGATAATTATTTTTGTTTTGAGATAGCTTACAGTATACTGAACATCATTCCAATATATACATATATAAATCACTCACTCATCACTAGATCTCCAAAACTATACGCCCGATTGACTTGTAATTTGGCATATACGTTCCTTTCTCGACGTAGACACACCCACTAAGAAAGAATTTTGGAAAATTCAACCCGTGAGGGGCTGAAGTAGGTTGTTACAGCTTGTGTTTATATTCGACTTATTAAAATTTATTGCCTACTAGTTGCCCCGGCAGACGTTGTTCTGCCCTTTCCGGTACGTGGCACGATGAGTTTCACTATGAATTCACTCCAGAATTTTGACAACGTAAATATAAAATTTACTGTTAATTCGAGCACAACGCAACCTATCTGTTCCAGATTCTTTTTGGACACTAAATCAACGTGTATTGGTCAACACGAGTTATTTTGATTCATAAATATCCAATTACCAACCTCAATCGGATCGATCAAGTCATTCAGAATTTTGTTATCATATCACTAACAGATTCACCAAAAGATATGTTAGATAGTTATTATATTACAGACCCATGCTATTTCTATTTAGGACAAATATGACAAGAAAGTTTCCTTACATCTTATTGTCATATTGTGATTGCTATAATAGAAATATTTCGAAGAATCATCATTTGCAAATTCTTCTTTTCGTTTGGCCATGTTAAACATTTGCAAACCATAAGTGTAATTACAAATGGCATGATATGAGTGCGATTCGGTTGAATGGATAAATGGATATAAAATAAAATATTATAACTTCATTAGGTAGGTATTCATTACGTAAAATGATAAAATTGGTTAGTAGAAGTTATTCATCGTTTCTTGTAGAGATAATGCGACCCGGCAAAAGCTCACCAATACATACAGTGCACAGATAACATAGGAACATTACGTATTTTAATTTGAATTTTTAAACATCGGAACAATTAGGTACAATAACTTCGAATGGACAATATTTTACAAAAGATACCTAAAAAACGAAAGTCTCTCGGGCGAAGTAGCCTACTCTCAGAAAATAAAAAAATGCACCAATTCTATCTTATTACTCTTGCAAGAGAAACAAACTTTAACGCGGTAAAGGAAAAAGGATCTGGCAAGTAATTTTATTTACATATTTCATCATGATAACAAGGTGGTGCGAGTTTTTAGCTTGTGCGTCACAACCGGCGAACGTATAAGTCACAACTTGTAAGCAAGGTAAACGAACTAAACAAGTTTTGCTTGCATAGCCTGATATAACTTGATCGGACACACCTCTTTTGTTGAAACGATAAAATTTTAGTAGCGTGAGCCTGTACCCACACAAACTTGAAGAGGCTATAGGTATATTATATTATATAGAATCATTTTTATACTTATGCGCTGAATAATGCTAATCTGGTAAACAGAAACATTGTCTAGAAAAATCATGATGTTACTGACCGCGATTGTTGCTTCATATTATACATGAGACGAGTATTTACCGGTCACAGGGTCAGAGCGCGAACAGCGCGATAACGTGGCAATACCACTCACTTACATGGATATGTCGATATAAAAGTCCAGCTTATGATATAACGGCAAAACGGTGTATTTATTTAACATTTTCACATTTACGATAAGTGATAAAAAATAGGTAAAAAAGCTACGTATATTTATTTACTCATATTCTTTTCCTTTATTATTTGCTACACCCTTCAAAATAATTTTAACAACTGTATACCTTTAAGATCTTTGAATAAACATGCTTTCATGTATTATACTTTCATAAAAAAAATGTAACCACCATTAAAAAAAACCCTAAAGTTTTCACACTTATAAAAATATACCAGCTGACCAGGCAGACGTTGTTCTGCCCTCTCCGACAACCCTGTGTCCTATAAAAATTCTTAAATTTGTAATAATGAATATTGAGGGCCATTTATAGGGATAAAAACTATCCTATCTCTCAAGTTGGACCAAACTGCACACATTGTACAAAATTTCATTGCAATCAGTTTAGTAGTTTAGTAGTTCATCGCGGACATACAATGTGACATGTAATTTTTATATATAAAGATTAATACTTACATAAAACAATAAGTAATTAATTAATTTTAAATGTGTTTGTAGGAACGACACATTTTTTCTTAGTTATTTAAAAAAACCCTAACTAGGAATTTCTTCTGTGTTATGTACGCGTTTTATATACCTAAATAGCACACGAACAAACATACAGATCGGGAACAATTATTTGTAGGCCATATTCAATTAACGGTCTTTTACTCTACTTACTTGTTCCGGGAGGGAATCGAACCGCAGCTCGAAGCTCAGTAGACAAATGATTAATAAAAAAAATATTTTCTATGCGTTTTGTGTCTTACCTCCGTGTTCGTTAATGTACACCGTAAATATGTTCATCGCTCCAACTTCGGTTAGCTCATGATTAGGTCCAAACAGCCATAATACTTGATGGTGGCCCATACTCGCGGCGCGAGCGGTAGCATCTGCAATACAAACATTTCTTCAACAAAAAAATTTGACAACAACAAAAAAACTTTGGTAAATTTAAAATTTTGTACAAACGACTTCAATATGAATATAATTTTTGTTGAATTTTTAAAAATCCCTCGACTGATTTCGATAAAATTTAAATGGGACCACCTGGTAACAAGACCCTTTGAAACAAAAAAAAGAATTTTTCAAATCGGTTCAGGCGTCTTTGAGTAATCGGTGAACATACATATAAAAAAAAATCCGACGAATTGAGAACCTCCTCCTTTTTTGAAGTCATTTGATAAAGTGATGTTATCATTAAAATAGTATTACAATTCAAAATATCATAAAATGTCAAAGCATATCATAAAATGTTATAACCTGCTGAAAACGAAATGAATTTTATTTCTTCCCTTTGACATATTTTATACCTAGGTGCTCTATTTAAATCAATGTTTCAAACGCGACGATGAGAAGTTAGGATTCAATACGTGATCTTTATAAATTCTATTTTCGCAACATTTCCTTTGACTTTTACCAAATAAGACTGACAACAATGCCTGATAACGTAAATGATTTTCCTTTGATTTTCATTAGTAAAATTCTATAATTTAAAAACCGACTTGATGAAATACGGATGGATGGGTTTAATGCTTAGTAGAGTTGAAATACTTTTACCAAAGAAATCATCTGGAAACTTAGCGAAAGATTCGGTGTAAATAGTTTACATAACCACTTATGCTTCAAATAATCCAAAAAAAAAATACCACATCCAAATTCCGAGACTGATCATGGACTTTAAGAAATGCCAATTTAAGAGAATTCCCTACCATCTAGGGATAATCTAGATATTTCACGCATTTAAACCAAACAGTATGATATGCTTAGTATTAGTAACCCTTCGTAAAAGTGTATTCTACACCAGTTTGTCAGCGTCAGTCTTTCCGTGCGATTACAAACAGATGTCTTCAAAGTAAGACTTCTGTTATACTAAGATAGGGCAATTTACCATCTAGGGCTTCATCAGCGTTTACCATCAGGTGGGATTGGATTGCAGTCAAACACTGGCTTATTATTATAGGATAAAGCGCACATTTGAGAAGGTCTATTAATACCTACTTATTTACTCTATAAGAACCTCGTCACGCAGTGGATTTAAAAAGATAACTTAAAAAGTATTGTTGAAGTACAGAACCAGTAAAATTAATGATAATTTTGAAAATAAAGTAGGAAAACTGCACACGCGCACTACTTGAAGCACATTAGATAAGATCGATACTAGTAATAAATATTGAATATTATATTTAGTTTCTCATGGCATAACACGTTTCCATTTATACGGATTCTTCTTGTTCACCTTCTACTTCATCACCTTTTAAATCATTTACTGGGCATGAGACCGCTCTTGTCACGCTGATTGGTGATCGAACTACTTATTTCACCAACTATCTATCGAAAACCATGAGATTTTTCTGCCATTTCTCGTTCTACAGTCGCATTTTATGACATCAATAGTAAAACGGTATGATGGGTTCTCTTTGGCCACCGTGTAGCTATAAAGTTATAGTTATAAAGTTGATTAATATCTTACCGATTGTGGGGCCGTAGTTAGAGCCCACTTTTCGATTGCCCACGCCGCCCGGGAAGGCACGGACAACACTAGGGTCGGCGTAAATTGATACAGCGCCGTCACTACTCGCCTTGTAGTACGCGCTCACTGGACTCATGATTACGAATAACAACGCCGATTCGGGGGCCATAATACCGAAGGTTGCCTAAGGAAACAAATTTGATACAGAAGTTTTTCATAACAATTATATTTATATTAACAATACATATAAATATGATTGTTACGAAGAACCAATGGCCTAATGGCAGGGCGCGGACCACGAACTCGAAAGGTCTTGGGTTCGAATCCGCCATTCGACTACTGTCGTGAACCACTTCTAACACAAGCATTTAAAGCTTACTAGAAGTGGTTAAAGGAAATATTAGTAATGTTTAACAACATTACTAGTATTTTAAAAAAAAAAATAATTATATTTATTGTCTGCCTCGTTGGTCTGTCTAGTGGTCGTCAGCGCGGCTGCTGATGATGAGGTGTCGGGTCCGAATCCCGGGTCAGGCTAAAATAAGTATTGGATTTTTCTCTCAAGAAATTCTCAGGAACAGTTCGGAGCCAGGGAGATGTTTCATCCCTGTGCCTCGGAAAGCAGTGCTGGTCCTACACCTGGTATCTTTTTGATCGTATCGGATCGCCATCCAATCGGATTATGAGAATGAAGGTATAGATAGTGTACTTGTGCTTGTACATACACGCGTTGCACTATAATCCTGTCCTGCGCAGATTAATAAATAGTCCCTGTTGTGAGTGGCCGCCGTGACCGAAATTAGGTCTGGAGGACATAAATAATTATCCTATAATAAATAAGTTATTGATTTAATCTCGCATTTGCAAGTTATTTAGATGCACAGCGCTACGTTGAAAACAACATCGATTCGAGACTTTTAATAAACATGTTTGCAATAATTAATGACGCTCGCTTGCAATTCCTGTTCAATTGAAAGTAAAGTAGTTCGTACTTCAATACTACATTGTTACTGCGACACTGTGTTTAAAACCGGCCTAATTAGAGGAAAAGAGAAAAAGCTTCAAAAGGTCGGCCGGTACCTAACCAAATGCATTTAATTATTTTAACACAGAAAGATTTTTTCTTAAAACAGCACAAACTTACCTAATATTTATTCTAGATTTCTATGACTAATAGATGACAAAGATTTTAAACGTTTTAAATCCGATTTACATTTGTTAATGTGTTAAGATGTTAAAATTATAAAATATTTAAAAATAAAGAAGGACTCTACAAAACACTCGACAATGAAAACATTTCAGAAATGAACATTAAAATTATGTTATTATCTCGCATAAGCAATTCTGTTAGTTTATTGACTGCAATCAAATACATAATATCATAATAATTGCGTAAGAATTAATGTACTTGAATATATCATACAATCTATATATTGTTGTATGTGAGAGGATATCCTAACTTATCTATTAACGCACAACCCAAACGTAGAAATACAAATACGTTACAAAACGTAACGGTGAAATTTGAAACTTGGACAGTAGCTGCTTTTTATACCGTAGGCATTCACTAAGAAAGGATATTTGAAAATTCAACCCCTAATAGGGTGAAATAGGGTGTTACAGTTTGTACTAAACATTTATTTTATGGGGCGATTGACTCGAAACTTTTTTTTATATAGAATAAGGGTGACAAACGAGTACACAATCCACCTGATGGTAAGTGGTTGCCCATAGACATCTACATCTATCTTCGTTTGCGAATTAAAATGCAGATGAGTTATCAGCCGTGAGAACTAAGGTAGAATGCATATTTTCCAGTAAAAAGGGTCTCCTGTTCTCTACACTCAGCATACGAAACACAGCAGCGTTAAGCTTCTATTTTACGCTGGTATTCTGTGAGAGCGTGGTCCTACCCCAGTCGAGCCGACCCATTCGTGCTACAACTATACTACTAATATAGCTGTAGCATGGCTCTACCACGTGTAATTAAAATGACAATAAAAAATATGTTTAATATATACCATTAAATATTATGCGTTATACCATTTAATATTATGCGTTTTTGAAGTTTCAAATAAATCGTTTCAATCTATTTTGTGTTTACGATTTTCCATTCCTTTTCCTCATACTGATTTTTAATTCCTTTAGCACTGCATTGCACTTATCAATTTAGTTTGAAACGCCCAAAAACATCGTTTATTTTTTCTAGCTCACTTTGAATTTAATTATTTAATATAGTAATATCATCTAATATAGTATATGAATATAGTAAATGTGATAACAATAATTAATTTCTTAGTAATAATGTAAAAACAAAACGTGATAATTTTATTTGCCATCTTTTATCAATTCCTTGATAGGTGTTTATTTTACACGTGGATATGAATGTATACGAAACTGGCATTTTTATCTTCTTCAAATACCTATATTAATTTTTGCACAATTAAACTGACTAAACAGGTAGATGAAAAGATGTTTTACCAGTTTGTCAGAGATCGAAATATCGGTACGGGCATTATTTCTTTTTTCGGTCGATATATTTCAAACCCATTTTAATTTAAATTGAAAGTATTACATGTTTTTATATTAGGTACTTTATATAGATAAAAACATCTCATCTTCTTGCAAAATATATTCTTAGGTAGTTAAAATATGAAAAGGTACGGAAATTATTAGGTGTGTTATAAAAAATTGCTTTGATTAGTGAGCGATCGTCAAATATATGGCTTAACAACATCTTCATCATGATCATCATCATTATCATTATCTTTTATATCGAGCCCTGAGACAGATAAAAGCTAAAAGTTTGCTTTTTGTTTTTTACAGCATTAACATCTCACCGTACACAATATAATTAATTACTTGTATAAAAGTAATTATAAATTCTTATCCAACTATTAATAACACTTTTTATGGTTGAATATTAAATTTATAAAGTAAATAGTACCAAAGGCATTCATAAACATGATTTGCATAGATAATTTGATATTAGTTAACTAGCGTGAACAATGCCATTAAAATAAAATACTTATGAAAAAAATAAAGTGCTTTACCTCAGTTCCAATTAATGTTGGTCGTATATATAGAGTAGATGTCTCCGAATGTGGGACCCACTCTTGGTCAATTTGAATTAATCGCTTTACACATTTTATTAATTCGTCGCCATCGAACATTGGCAGACCTGACCTTGCCGCCGCTAAATTCATTCTTTCCATGTTTAAATCCGGTCGAAACAATCGTATTTTGTCGTCAACTCCTCTATATGCTTTCAAGCCTTCGAACAGCTGCATGAAAACATAGAGAATAAAATAATTTTACGCCACCTTTGTGTCTTTCATTTATAATAAACAGCAATAAATACATTGTAAGTGGAAAGTGTCATTGTTTCGTAAAAAACAGTCTAATTTAAAAATATCACGTATCCGTGTTTATACGGATACGAAAAATAAATAAGGCGCTGGTCCAACTTGTTTAAGAATCGATAAAAACGTCGATCGATAAAAATCCATTAATATTCTAGAAGGTTGCCAAAATTAACATACTTGTATTGCGTAGTGTAGAGCTTTTGCAGCTGGATGAATGCTTAACGGCTCGAAAGGTGAAATTTTTGGTTTTTGCCATCCGCCTAGTTGCTTTTCGTATTGTATCTTGAGCATGTGATCTGTAAAATATTTGCCAAATCCAAGATCGATCGCATCGGGCTTCCTTTGAAGCTGGTAGGGCGCCGCCAGCGTTACTTGCAAATCATCGTGCTGAAAATTCCAAATAGTTATTATTTTTGCTGAAGGCAAGTGAGTGATGATGATGAAAGTAACTTTTTTTTATGGCACTTTTCTAAGTTTGTAACTATGCGCTGTACTGACAAGCAGTTACAAGTAAATAATCAGAAATATAAAGTTTGTATGCATCACTGGTCATCGTGCAGTAAGACACAAACATGATAAAAGTTCACGATATAGTATGTACCCGTATAAATGCTATAGCAGAATTTAAAAACATTTACTTGCAGTCAGATCATAAGTGTTCTAAATGGCATGGATAACCAAGGGATATTGATAGTGGTAAATATTCTCATATCTAATCAGTGGCAGCAGAAGATCTTGAATAAAAATACCCAGTATTACGACGATCAACTTGTATGTCAGGCTTGCTCATTATAGCAAGAGCAACCTCCTTAAGAGGTGGCCAATATGGATACATTTGATTATCCCTATTACTTTTCCTATCTTTAATTTGTTCTTATTATGGGGACTTATTTAGTTTCGAATAGCATAAATGAAACTTTTATGACGTATCCAGAATAAGTGTTCAATATATCATCTTTCCTTTAGGTATACTATTTATTGCTCAAAAAATAACGTAATTTTATCTAGATCCTAAACGTAAGATAATTCAGTTTCAGTAATAAGAATGACGTGTAAAATATCTCTGTGACGTAATAACAGACATTTCTTATCTCCACTACCTTGAACGAAATTTCTGGCGTTATGTGTGGGCGTGGCTTGACACCAGGTATTGAAGCAGTAATGGGCGGCTCCGGCTCGAGCTGTCCTTGTGTCGAAGTCTCCTCTAATTCCTTGTACCGAAGTGATGAGCTACACCATCGGATGGTTTGCAGTTTGTGTTGGCTTTCGAAAAACCATTTCACTAATAATACCTGTAAAATTATTATAAACATGATTTTGAATCTTTAAGATTTGTTAAGTAGAGACTAGATAAAATGAGCATTATCTGAAGCCACAAGTTTTGTTTAAGAAATGGTAAGCTTTATCAACAACCAATGAAAACAACATGCGACGACGTTTTATGCTTGATAAAAATTGTTTACAGTTTGCGGGCTTTACTACGTGTATCAGCTTTACTTCTAAAACTGTAACTCGATTTTTTGATAAATATATTATATAGTTTAGTAGAATGATACTCCTTCATCTTGAACATTTTCCGGATTGGCTATAGACGTCCAGTACTTGATTTTAATTATGTTTTCAGTTTATCAGGCTTGTCAGGGTTAAGTTTGAATCTTTTACTATTTGGATGTCAGAAATGCGTTTTGAATTAATTAAGATAAAAATAAATTTCACTAAAATTGCGTATAACGAAACGCAAATATGGCAATTTGGTCTATTATGATGATTATTATTTAGTACTTGATTTCAATTATGTTTTCATATTAGGAGGTTTGTCAGGGTTAAGCTAGAATCTTTTATACTGTTTTTGAATTACGGAAATGTGTTTTGAATTGATTACGATAAAAATAAATTTCACTAACTGAAAATTGCATATAACGGAACGGGCCACCCATAATAAAGTTAATTACTCGGACCCAGACAATCCATTTGTGGCTGACGTCCTATACTCATACAACGAACTGAGTCGCAGTGGAGAGTGGTTAAAGAGGTTTTTCAGAAAACATAATTAAAACAATTCACATTACATTGTTTCATTTACCACTATCATAGCAGAGTTTAGGGTAACCTGACTTTATAGGTAAGATAGTTCGAATCTGTACTAAAACCGAATCAGAACGCCACGACTCCACGTAGTCTTTTCTGCCCTACTCCTAGAGTGTTTTTGTAGAGCCGTAGGCGGGGAGGGAGAGCAGCCCCCGCCCGAAGGGGCTACACTTTCCGCAGCGCCGAAGCCGTTGCAGAAGTAACTTTCAGTCAATATTCCTGAGTAAAAAAGTAAGGTTATGATTTTACAAAAAAAAATTACTCATATACTATACATTTCCGCAACAGGGGAAAGGTACCCAGGGCTTCCCCTGAACCCTCCCCCTCCCCCCATTTCCCTCCCAACCCCATACGCGAGTACCGGATGTCTATATTTTTTTTATAGGATAAGGGTGACAAACGAGCACACAGTCCACCTGATGGTAAGTGGTTGCTGCGGCCCATAGACATCTACATCTATCCTCTATAACAAATCAAAATGCAGATGCGTTGTCACCCGTGAGGACTAAGATGGAATGCCTCATTTCCAGTAAAAAGGGCCTCCGGCCACCTGCACTCACCAAGCGAAACGCAGAGGTAAACCTCTACATCACGCTAGTATTCTGTGAGGTCGTGGTACCCCCCCGGTTCGAGCCAGCCCATCCGTGCGACAGCTAAAGCCGCCACGTGGCTCTACCACTGTTAGACTATATATACACTATAGTTTTACCGATTTTCCTATTCAATAGAAAGAAGTCCCAACATTTTAAAAATTACTCGTTTAGAGAAGCATGTGATATCAAATAAAACTATAAATATATAGGTACCTATAGTTATGTAATTTTATTATTTTTTGGAAGACAAATTGTTTTAAAAACTGTACAGTAATTTATTAAAAAATAATTTTCATAAATTTTGTTTAAAGTTTACAGTTCGTTAACAGGTGACGTAAAATATCTAAAAATATCTTTTGACTTTTGAATGCTTTGTGCTGTCGTTTAATGGCTAAATGGAATCAGGCAATAATTGTAAAGACTATTACGTAAATATATTCTACATTTTACATATACCTATAATTTATAATTTCGCTTATAAAGTCACCATTCTTTATATTTGAAAGTGTAGTTTAGAATATTTAGAATATTTAGGTTTTTCTAAGTTCTAAATATTGCGGCAAAAGCACTCCGCGATTTCACCTGCGTATATCGCGCGTCTAAGCCGTGCGATATAAGCGTCGTACGCGCGCCGAGCTGAGTGTTAAATTATTGTAATTTTTCATTATCTCTTAAACTATGCGTCCAAAATAACAGGCTATAAACAGCAAAGTTTATCCTCATAAAATTCTTAATGATGAAGTAACTTTCGTTCGTAAGGATTAATATGGGATGATTAATAATAACGCTCATAAATCACTTGTTAATTTTCAATATTTTTTGTAAGAAAGTACTTTTTAATTACTTAAATATAAGACATATATCTATGGTATCACGGACTTTTTTTAGACGGAGGAAAGGTCTATATTTTTTAGAACATTGTATTTACGTATCACTAACTATTACGCCAGCGCACGCGTATAAAGTGGTTCGGGAGTAGGGTTACCATACCTCAGGATTTGTCCTGAGATTTCAGGATTTTTAGACTCTTCTCAGGATTGCGGCTGGATTTTGCAAATCTCAATAAATCTCAGGATATTTAGAACTTTCAATATAATACAGACATTACATTTTAAAGATCTCTTTAATAAAAAGTTAAACAAACTAAAAATAATTTTCCTTTGGTAATAACTCCACAATTAAAATCAAAACTTATTTATCTAAGTAGGTACTTAAACAGTTTTAACATACTTAATATGTGAAGATACCTTTTTAAGTAAGGTTTTCTTCTCAAACTGTAAAAAAAATCTCAGGATTTTTAAATGGAAATCAGGCCTCTTCTCCATTTTTTCATCTGGTAACCCTATTCGGGAGCGCTTTTTCTTCCGACTTACTTAACAAAACTCAATATTTAAGGCTAGCTGAGAGGTATAGCCTAATGCTAGGTAGCTATTCTTCATGAATCTGGTTATCATACACAAAATTAGTATAGATTCTATCCCATTCTCTCGCAGGCTAAATCATATAGATGTATGTTTGTCTCTTTTAGTGCAGGTTTTTCGTTTCATCGCGTTTTAAATCACAACGATACTAAAGAAGTTTCACTTCAATAAGGAAAAAAAATTTTTTTCGAAGACATGTAAAGTTCGCCAACACGTATTGGCGCAGCGCGGCGGACATTTCCTTGCCTTAAAACCTCAGAAATGACCTGCGCAAATTTAGCACCCCATCTAATGATAAGCGAAATCAAAATTACCTTGATCGATAGGTCTGTATAGGTCCACCAAAAGTTTTGTTAGGTCATCTATAGATTTTTAATAAACATTTTTTTTTTATTTTACAAGAAAATATTCGCATTTTAGCACCTCATTTAAAAGAAACTGATTAATTTTATCATTTTTGCATTCTCGTTATCGTTAGGTCAGCATTGGTCTATATTGTTTGCTTTAACATTATTCATTTTATTTGTTTTATTAACAACTAGCTCGCCAGGCAGGCGTTCTGCCCTTTCCAACGACCCTTCCTATAAAAATCCTTAAATTCGCAATAAAAAAATTAGAGGGTCATTTAGCGGGATAAAAACTGTCCTATCTCTCAAGTTGGACCAAAATGCACACAGTGTGCAAAATTTCATTGAAATCAGTTCAGTAGTTTAGGAGTCCATCGCGAACAAACAACGTGACACGTAATTTTTATATATAAAGATTATAAATAATTTATCGTCCGCGCATGCGCTCAACACACCTACTGAAAGTATGGCGCGAAATTCAAAGTTTTCCCGTTCCGTTTTCATTTCATCAGTAAAAAAATTAATAAATAGGTGTATAAGCTATTCTCAAAACATAATATAATTCCTCTAGCTGCTTCACGTAATGACTGAATAGTTAGTAAGTTACTGGGCACCACTAGTTTGAAAGATAAGAAATTTTTATGAATTTATTTAAAGAAACTATTGCATAGAATGTTTTAATCCTTTAAGGATACTTTTGTGGATGTATATAAGACATGATTTAATTTGTCCTAGGTGCTAAATTGCGCAGGCTCAGAAATGAGAGGCCAGTGCCGAGCAGTTGGACTAATAATAAGAGTGGGTCATGACTGTCTGCACTTTATAACGTGGACGCGGGTAACACCGCGGGGCTAGTCTAGTCTATAAGAGTATATACATATATAAAAGAGATATCCTGAGTGACTGACCCATCTGTCAAACCGTCGGACGTACGAATCTGAAGTTTGGACAGTGGCTGTCTTATATAAGTCGGATAAGAAAGGATTTTTCTAAATTCAACCACTAAGATGGTGAAATAATGTGTTACATAATTAGTTTGTATGACACTTTTTATTTTACGGGGCGATTGACTCAAACTTACGGAGGGGATTACTTGCAAAGTGTATACAAAAAAATGGTGTCATCAAATTTACAAACTGGAGCAAATACTCTTGATTAAAAATAATAACGTACCTACCCATTTTTTATTTTTTCGAATATTTACCCAAGAGGTTTAAAAACGGGGGTGCAGTTTGTATGAAAAATATTGTATTAAGGCGCACAGCCCAAAAACCTAAACGAAGAAATCTGAAACATGCGGTAAAGTTCCTATATAGGAACCTAAAATTCAAATGGCACGGAGTATAATTAACAGTGAAACTGGTAAGGTCAAGTATCGCAATTCAAACTACTAGTTAAGTTTTAACAACAAATTAACTAAATTAGATCAGGACGTTGCAATGGTTTTTGAGGAATATATTACTGAAAGTCACTGAATTCTTCTGCCGTCGTCGAATTTTTACTCGAACAAAATGTAATGTAATGCCTATACGAAAAATTTTACATTTCATAAAGTATCATCAAAAAATATTGTAAAATATTTTGAAATTATCAATATTAAAAAAACCGCGTGGTAGAGCCATGCTGCAGCTATATTGTGATTGCAGCACGAATGGGTCGGCTCCATTGGGGTAGGACATGCTCTCACAGAATACTCGTACCAGCGTAAAATAGCAGCTTAATTTCGGTTGATGTTATTGCGTCTATAATAGATACAATCGCTATTATTTGAATACTACCATCGAATCTAGTGTTTCCTGATTTAATGAAACATATTAAAGTAACACCTTGATTTAAGGCTCAATTGTCGGCTCCTTTCTGTTTGTACCTTTATATTAATGACTTACCTTACATGGTAAGGGATAACCATCATATAGTAACCATCATATAATAACATCATAAGCATAACATTATTTGGTGATGATACTTCATTAATTTTCCAATTAAAAAAACAATTATTGAAATATTACGAAGTAAAAAATGCTATATCTAAATTAGTACATTGGTTTAATGTTAATAATTTGCATTTAAATGGCACTAAAACAAAATGTATGAAATTCATAATGCCAATGGTCAAACACCTAAATACTAATATAATTAAATGGGGAGGAGCTGATTCTTGTAGATGTCACTATTTTTCTTGGAATCACACTACATTCCAAATAATCTATATTGAATAAAAAAGTGTTTGTTTCTGGAACTGTATCCGTCATCGCTGCTGCTTATAAGAGAGTTGCATTTCTTTTCTCGCTCAAAGGCTAAGTAGGTATACCCATTCAGCGAAGAAACTGACTGTTTGATAATTTATGTTTTTAATTTTATTTTATTTTTAATGTTGTATATATTACAATGTCATATAATTAAATTCCAGTATATTTTTTTTAAACGAGGGGCAATTATTTTATGAAAATATTTTATTTAGACAGCCTACGTTAGACTTAGAACACATTAAGAAAGGAGTTTGGAAAACCCAAACCCTTAGTGTTATAGTTATACCACACTTTTTATTTCACGGATCGGTTTAATATTTGTATAGTGAAAAATCGGGTTGTTCCGTATTCATACTAATTATGAATTTTGTTACTTGAAAATTGGCCCAATTACAGTTGGATAAAGATAAATTATATTTTTTTAATATTCTGAAAATCTAATCATAAAGTACAACATAGCCAACATCACGGTGCGAAAAGCTAGTCTATGTACATAGGATGTCCAGAGTGATGTTAATATGACTCATCTATCTACGCGCAGCCTAAGCGGCTTGACGTAGAAATTTGAAATTTGGACAGTGGCTGCCTTTCATGACGTAGGCATCCATTACGAAAGGACTTTAGAAAATTCAACCCTTAATAAGGTGAAATATGGTGTTACAGTTTGCATGAAACTTTTTTTTACGGGGCGATTGACCTAAAAATTTACCAAGGATTTTTAAAATAAATTAATTCGTATTTATCAATTTTCCAATGGACCCCCAATGTGTGGGGGGCGGTAAGAGTGCTCTTTAAAACAAATTTGTAATAGGAAAATAATAATAACTCTTGAATTAAAATAATAAAATTAACATTTTTTATTTCCTCAAAATCTACCCGGTTTTAAAATGAGTGTCCGAGTTGTTTATGAAAAATATTGTTATGACGCACAGCCCAAACCGCTCGACGTAGAAATATGGAAATTGTGGCAATGTAGCTTCCTTTTATTTATTATTACGCAATCATTAACTAACATAGGTTTTTGAAAAATTCAAACCCTCAGAGGGTGAAATAAGATGTAAGAGTTTTTACGACACTTTTTATTTTACGAGGCGATTTCATTTTTTTATGGTGAAAAATGATTACATGATTTTGTAACTTGAAAATTGGTATAATTACTTTTGCATTAAACAAGTGAAATAAGCATTTATTTAATTTTTCGTAAATCTAAACATAGTGTTAAATATGAGGGTGTAGTTTCCGCGGGAAAAATGTTTTTCTAATCTGCACGGTGGTGAGGAAACACTTAAAACGAAATGGCCTAAACTGCTTCGAGAAAAGGATGGTACGGCCATGCCGCTTTTTTGCTCGACTTGGCGGGGGCACTGCCGTGCCCCCAGATTATGGTAGTTATGGATAATACATATTTTCGAACATCGCAAAATCTGGCCCTTTCACCAAAGGCTAAGATTAAAAACTAAGAACTACATGTTTCAGTATTTTTGACAAAAGATGAAATATTGTTCGAAATACTGCCATGTTTTAATTTTAATATCTTTGACAATACTATTATAAGCTGTCGATTAGAAACTTAGAAATAAGTATTAAGGATTTTTGGACCACTCCCTCTCCTCTCTAACGGTAAAATAGTGGATGAAAGCTATTATAAATTTGTAAACCAATTTTTTTTATTTTGATACTTTTTACGCAAATAACGGTCACAACGAAAGGCTAGGAGGGGTTTGTTCATAAATGTAAAAAATGATGACAAGAAGTATGATGGTAATCATAATAATTGCAAGCAATAAGTTTTGAGTAGATTGTTGAAGGAAAAAAGGATTGAGCACGGCGAATATGTAGAGGCTATTATTTATTCTGTGGTAGAGGGAATGAGCAGGAGTTCCGCAAGCCTACAGCTCTAACATAAAAAAATATTGAAGAGGGAGGATGAATGTACTACGAGGCAGATTTTTAGAGCGGTTTTCTATTCGAAAAGCCTTTATCTTCCCTAAATTTGAGTGTCCATGCGATAGCTTGAGCTCTTCGTATTAAGCGATCAGGTTGGTCATGACTGTCGGGGTGTAATAACGCGCACGAGGGTAACACAGTGAGGCGAAAAGCTTTTTTTATTATATTATTTGTGACTATGAGTAGTATGAAGGAAAATACTAAAATGTAACTAAATACATTACATTCACCAAGTTTTTAATAATAGGTAGGAACAACTCGGTTCAAACAGTCATCATCGGTTATCATCTGGGTTTTAATAACAATTTTATATAGGTATTTAATAAACAAAATATTGGCTCATACTCAGAATTGACGGGATTGGGAGCTGGAAAAAAATTATTCTTTAGGCTTCCGGGTAGTAATTTAAACTCCTTTTCCCTATATTTATGTATTATACCTTTTCATTTATTTGTATATATCACAATACTCCGAATAATTTTAATTTAGGTATATCAACTGTTTCTGTACGATTGTTTCGTTTTCTTTTTGTGTATGGTTTATTTAATAAACAGTTATTGTTCTTAAATTTCTTTTGGTGATATTATTCTTTCCGATAAGTAATGGTACTCGTACTAATGATTATCCGGTATAATTTGAAAGAAATTATTATTTTTTAATTATGTAAGGTTTTAGTTTTTTTTTTTCATAATGATCTTATCCTGTTTCAACGGAACGGTTGGCTCTGAATAGTAAGATGTAAGTATAGTACTTGTGTATAGTACTTATTTGTTTTTATATTTACAGAATACTTTACCTTGCTTCGACGAACTGGCATCTTTACAATCACTATTTTATGTTATCACTTTCAATATATATCTACTATCACAACGTATTTTAATTTCACGTATAGGCGCTTTTGTTGCAAATTACTAATGAGAGTTCGAATTATTTTGCAGTCACAATTTTATTCTGTATATTCCACGACTTGCTATGAGTTAACTGACTTCATTGGATCTACAGCACAAACATATAAAGAGCAAGTGATAAGATTGCGGGATGACCTATGACGTACTCAATCGTAATCAACACAAATTATAACCATCATAAGATAAACGCTAAAAACTTCATCAAAATAAAGTTTACGCACAGGGTTATTTATTTAATAGGACAGTGTGCGCATTAAGACTAAGTAAACCGTCCGACACACCGAGACCGACTGCGTAGATCGTGGCCGTGTCGGGAAGAGGTCGAGTGAAAGACTATGTGCATACACATTTTAACGAATATGTTAATACTACTAGCGAATCAATACTCATTTACGCACAAAGCAATTTACATCACGAAAAATTTACATAATTAAAACATCAATTACCAAGAAGTAAATTCGTCACTTATAAATTTTGGTATTAAATTTTTACAGAAAATGTTTCTATAAAAATATAATATCAAAAGATTCAAAGATTAAAGTATTTAAAAGAAAAACGAAAAACTAGAAGTTTCTCCTGTATCGTGAGGGGCAGTTTACATACATAAATTTCACAAGGACAAACATCCAGACCCAAAATTATTTGTAGGCCATACAAATACTTGTTCTATACGGGATTCGAACCCGCGACCCTTAGGCGTGTCATAGAGTGGAGACCTCGTATAGGCAAACGTAATGTGGGACGCCCCTTGGCTAGATGGGACGACGATCTGCGCAAGGCGGAGATCGTCGCTCGTTAGATCTAAGGTTTTAGTTCTTTTAAGCCACTGCGCCGCAGAGCAATAATAAAAAAATGAAATCTTTTATTAATATTCTTCTTGATGTTATCATCATCATCATCATCAGCGTGCGGCAGTCCACGATCTTCACGCATCCAGTTGCTGCCAGCCGCCTTGCGTAGATCGTCGGTCTATAGCCAGGGGGCGCACTACGTTTTCCTACACGAGGTCTCCGCTCTATGATACACCTATTCCAATGCTTATCGCTTCTGCGATGTTACGAATCTTAACCACCAGAGAAACTCCGAGAATAGCTCTTTTCATCGCCCGCTGGATGACTTTGAGTTTTTGGAGTAGACATGACGTCAGTTTCCACGTTTCGGCACCATATGTGAATACAGGCAGGACGCACTGGTCAAAGACTTTCGTCTTCAAGCTTTGCGGTATGGGCGACGAGAAGACCTGACAAAGCTTCCCGAATGCTGCCTAACCCAACTGAATCCGCCTATCGGCTTCTTTCTCGAAGTTATTTCTATCTAACTGCACTATCTGGCCGAGATAGATATACTCTTGAATAACTTCAAGAAGCTCACCATCAACGATAATCGAATCTGGTATGACGTGACCGTTAAACATGACTTTCGTCTTCTTTAAATTTATACGCAGTCCGACACGTTGGGAGGATTCATTTAGGCTGATGAAGCATGTCTTGTAGTTCCTGCAGCGATTTTGCCCTGGCGGCATGGACGTATAAATACGTCCATACCTGGCGACGATATCATCGGCAAAGCGTAAGTGATCGCCATTTATATCGATGCCGCGTCCATTCCAGTTTAGCGTCTTAAAAACATCTTCCAGTGCATTTATGAACAGTTTTGGAGATATTGTGTCCCCTGTCTCACTCAACGATGCAATTGGATAGGTTTTGTAAGATCACCCTGTTCTTGTGTTCTGTACTTGGGCGGACATCGAGCTTGTGGTGTTTAAATGTCTCAAGACATCTATGTATTGTCAATCAATCCGACAACACTGCAAGGAATTCATAACAGACCAAATTTCGTCGGAGTCAAAGGCTTTCCCATAGTTTTTTTTTTATAGGAGAGGGGGCAAACGAGTATGCGGCTCACCTGATGGTAAGTGACTACCGCCGCCCATGAACAACTGCAACATCAGGGAGGGAATTGCAGATACGTTGCCGGCCTTTTAAAAAGGAATAGGCTTTTTTCTTGAAGGTCCCTAAGTCGTATCGTTCCGGAAAAATCGCTGATGGTAATCGATTCCACAAGGAAGTTGTGCGAGGAAGAAAACATCTTCCAAATCGCACAGTGTTGGACCGCCAATCATCCAGATGGTGTGGATGGTATCGGGAGTTCTGCCGCGATGTGCGTTCGTGAAATTTGGCGGCTGGGATTAATCCGAACATTTCTTCAGAGCACTCCCCGTGGTAAATCTGAGAGAAAATGCAAAGGGATGCAACATCCCTACGCAGTCCCAGTGAAAGAACTCGGTCGTCGGCGATTCGAAGCGCTCTGCGCTGGATGCAGTCAAGTGGAAGGAGCTGGCACTGGGGTGCCCGGCCCAGAGATGAGAACAGTATTCCATGTGAGGCCGGATTTGCGAAATTTGCTTTGTAAAGTTGCAAGTGATGTGCCGGCATGAAATACTATCCCGCTCCGCTGAGCACGCCAAGTTTTTTAGAGGCCAATTTGGCCTTCCCTCTCAAGTAACCACGAAACTGCACACTATTCGATACGTCGATGCCGAGGATTCCGATGCTAGCTGAGGCAGCAAGGGGAATGCCTTGAAACTGAGGAGATACGACAAAGGGGTTCTTTTTAGCGATAAACGCGCAAACTTGTATCTTCTGGGGGTTGAACTGGACTAGATTTAGTCGCCCCCAATCCGAGACTTTGTTCAGCAAAGACTCGACTTCAGACACAAGTTTGTCCTGGTACTCGGCGACGTTTTCCCGAGAAATATTGGCGTGGCCGGTATATAAGGCATCACCAGTGCCGTCATCCGCATAGCAATGATTCTTACCAGTTTGCAACATATCATTTATATGCAGAAGAAACAGCGTTGGTGATAGCACACAGCCTTGTGAAACACCAGGCTTGTAGTCGGAGCATGCACCGTCTACAACGACCTTGATGCTCCGACCTGCAAGGAAGCTGGTGATCCACTTGCACAATTTCTCGGGAAGCCCATAGCAAGGGAGCTTTGAAAGAAGCGCTTTGTGCCAAACCCGATCGAAGGCCTTCGCAATGTCCAAACTAATGGCCAACGCCTCCCCCTTTGACTCTACTGCCTCCGCCCATCTATGAGTCAAGTAGACCAGAAGATCACCAGCTGATCGACCCCGACGAAAATCGTATTGGCGGTCACTAATCAGCTGGTGATCCTCAAGGTACCGCATGAGCTGGCAGTTAATAATGGATTCCATTATTTTGGAGAACAAGGAGGTGATGGCGATAGGCCTGTAGTTGGACGGGTTTGAGCAGTCGCCTTTTTTAGGGAGCGGGTGGACAAAAGCTGTCTTCCATGATTTCTGGACTATGCCTAGGGAGTAGGAGTACCGGAAAAGACGCGTTAGAACTGGTGCCAACTCCGGAGCACACGTCCTCAGCACAATTGGGGGGATTCCGTCAGGCCCACTTGACTTGTTGATATCCAGAGAGAGGAGTGCTTTGCGAAACGAGCGCTGTGAGAACAGCACATCCGGCATGAAGCACTCACACCGCGGGATGGTCGGCGGTGTGTTCTCCCCGTCATCAAGAGTCGAGTTGGACGCAAAAAGGGAGCCTAAAAGGTCGGCTTTCTCTTTTGCGGCTTGGGCCAGTGAGTCGACCTGTGCAGAGATGGTAGTGATGGCTTACAGAAATTCCCTTGGACAGCCTTGGCGAGAGACCAGAATGCACGGGTTCCCGAAGGAAGGCGAACTAGTTTCTATCCAATTCTGCCTATGTGCTCTGACTTTGCCTTGGCAGTAACTCTTTTGAAGGACCTGGAGGCGAAATTATACTTCTTTTTAAGCATGCTGGTGTTTACATCCCGAGTTGCCAAAGCCGCAGCCCAGGCTTGATAACACTCCTGCTTATTGCGTAATACAGTCTTACAGGAGCGACCAAACCAAGGCTGAGATCTGTCTCCGATGGGTACGACAGATGATGGAATAAATAGTTACATTCCCTGTAGCACCACATCAATATATAGCAATATATAGCAATAGCAATAGCGCTGGGATCATCCGGCGAGAAGAAAACCCGCCCCCATGGGTAGGATGCAAAGAAAGACCGCATTCCGTCCCAAGCCGCCGACCTGTCATTACAGGTACGCCAAACACGGCGGCAACCTGTAGAACGCAACCGCGAGTGGAGCGTGAGTGGCACCACACTCCGGATCAGATAATGTTCCGAAGAGCCGAGAGGGGCATCGACAGAAACCTGATGTCCGTCCGGATGAGAGGTCAGCAGAAGGTCCAACAGGGAAGGTGTATGATCCTCCACATCTGGAATCCGCGTAGGCGAAGTAACCAGTTGTGTCAGACCATATGCCAAGGCAAAGTCATAAACAGATCTCCCCGCATGATCGATTAAACGTGAACCGAGCCATACGGCGTGGTGGACGTTAAAATCGGATGGATGGATCATGATCTCTTCACGCCGGTATTCTGTGAGGTCGTGGTACCAACCCGGCTCGAGCCGGTCCATACGTGCAACAGCAAAAACTGCCGCGTGGCTCTACCACCGTTAAAATAGTTCATAGTTCACAAAGGCCATACAAAGAGACTGATTATATTCATCCGTCTTCTGTATAATTTACCTCACTTTATGAATGTGGTCTATGGTACCACAGCCTCCTCGATACCGAGCCTGCTCGGGTGCTTGAAATTCGTCAAGTTTCCGCGCGAGTCGATTCGTGATAACCCTCGAAAACAACTAATAGACGTGGCTCAGAAGCGAGATGTTCCGATAATTCTTTAGCATTCTTGTCTTGTCGCCTTTCTTGTAAAACAAGATTGTGATGCTTCTGCTCCGTGCCTTTGGAGTGCTCCCATCTCGTAAAACGCAGTTGAAAAATGGACCAAGCTCTTTTAGCAATGGTTGTCCCCTAACTTTCAAGAGCTCTGTG